AAGAATTATCCACCAAGATCAAGTGGGATTCATTCCTGGGTTACAGGGCTGGTTCAATATTCACAAATCAATCAATGTGATATACCACATCAACAAAAGATAAAAACCATATGATCCTGTCGATAGATGCAGAAAAAGCATTTGACAAAATACAGTATCCCTTCTTAATAAAGACTCTAGAGAAAGTTGGGATAGAAGGAACCTACTTAAACATCATAAAAGCCATCTATGAGAAGCCCTCAGCTAACATCATCCTCAACAAGGGAAAACTGAGACCGTTCTCCCGGAGATCAGGAACACAACAGGGATGTCCACTCTCACCACTGTTGTTTAACATAGTGCTGGAAGTCCTTGCATCAGCCATCAGACAACAAAAGGAAATCAAAGGCATCCGAATTGGCAAAGTCAAACTTTCACTCTTCGCAGACGACATGCTACTCTACTTAGAAAACCCGAATGACTCCACCAGAAGCCTACTAGAACTGATCCATGAATTCAGCAAAGTTGCAGGACACAAAATCAATGTACTGAAGTCGGTTGCATTTTTATACACCAACAATGAAGCAACAGAAAGAGAAATCAAGAAACTAATCCCATTCACAATTGCACAAAAAAACCATAAAATACCTAGGAATAAACCTAACCAAAGATATAGGAGATCTGTATGATGAAAACTATAGAAAACCTATGAAGGAAATTGAAGAAGACACAAATAAATGGAAAAACATTCCATGCTCATGGATTGGAAGAATATTGTTAAAATGTCAATACAACCCAAAGCAATCTACACATTTAATGCAATCACAATCAAAACTGCACCAGCATTTTTCTCAAAGCCAGAAAAAAACTATCCTAAAATTTTTATGGAACCACAAAAGACCCCAAATAGCCAAAGTAATGCTGAAGAAGAAAACCAAAACAGGAGGCATCACCATCTCAGACTTTAGTCTCTACCACAAAGCTGTAATCATCAAGACAGTATGGTATTAGCACAAAAACAGACACATAGACCAATGGAGTAGAATACAGAATTCAGAATTGGACCCACAAATGTATGGCCAACTAATCCTTGACAAAGCCGGAAAGAGTATCCAATGGAAAAAAGACAGCCTCTTTAACAGATGGTGCTGGGAGAACTGGACAGCAACATGCAGAAGAATGAAACTAGATCACTTTCTCACACCATGCACAAAAATAAACTCAAAATGGATGAAAGGCCTAAATGTGAGACAGGAAACCATCAAAACCCTAGAAGAGAAAGCAGGAAGCAACCTCCTTGACCTCCACCGCAGCAATTTCTTACTTGACACATCCCCAAAGACAAGGGAATCAAGAGCAAAAATGAACTACTGGGACCTCATCAAGATAAAAAACTTCTGGAAGGGAAAGGAAAGAATCAATAAAACTAATAGGCAACTGACTGAATGGGAAAAGATAGTTGCAAATGACATATCAGATAAAGGGCTAGGATACAAAATCTATAAGGAACTCCCCAAACTCCACATCCGAGAAACAAATAATCCAGTGAAGAAATGGGAAGACATGAACAGACACTTCTCCAAAGAGGACATCCAGATGGCCAACAGACATATTAAACGATGCTCAGCGTCCCTACTCATCAGGGAAATACAAATCAAAGCCACACTGAGATACCACCTCACGCCAGTCAGAGTGGCTAAAATGATCAAATCAGGAGACTATAGATGCTGGCGAGGATGTGGAGAAACGGGCACCCTCCTACACTGTTGGTGAGAATGTAAACTGGTGTAGCCCCCCTGGAAAACAGTGTGGAGGTTCCTCAAAACATTAACAATAGAACTCCCCTATGACCCAGCAATAGCACTGCTAGGAATTGACCCAAGGGATACAGGAGTGCTGATGCACAGGGGCACATGTATCCCAATATTCATAGCAGCACTCTCCACAATAGCCAAAACATGGAAAGAGCCTAAGTGTCCATCAACGGATGAATGGATCAAGAAGATGTGGTTTATCGATACCATGGAATACTACATGGCAATGAGAAAGAATGAAATCTGGCCACGTGTAGCAACATGGATGGACCTTGAGGGTGTTATGCTGAGCGAATTATGTCAGGAAAAGAAGGACAGATACCGTATGTTTGCACGTATAGGTGGATTAGGAGGAACTTAACAGAGGACCATGGGGAGGAGAAGGGTAAAAATAGTGGAGGAGAGGGAGGGAGGCAAACCATGAGAGACTTTTGAATGCTGAGAACAAATTGAGGGCTGATGGGGGTGGGGGAGAGGGGAAGAAGGGTAATGGGCACTGTTGGGATGAGCACTGGGTGTTAAATGGAAACCAACTTGACAATAAACTAAGAAAAAAAATAAATATAAAAAAATAAATAAATAAAAGAACTTATAAAACTCAACACCCAAAAAAAGAAATAGTTCAATTAAAAATGGGTTGAAGACATGGACAGACATTTCTCCAAAGAAGACATACAGATGGCCAACAGGCATATGAAAAGATGTCATTATCACTTATTAGGGAAATGCAAATCAAAACTACAAGGAAATATCACCTCACACCTGTCAGAATAGCTAAAATCAACAACACAAAAAACTACAGATGTTGGCGGAGGATGTGGAGAAACAGGACCCTCATGCACTGTTGGTAGGAATGCAAACTGGTGCAGCCACTGTGGAAGGTCCTCAAAAAGGTAAAAATAGAACTACCCTACTATCCAGCAACTGCACTACTGGGTATTTACCCAAAGAATACAAAAATACTGATTCGAAGGGATACATGCACTCCTATGTTTACAGCAGATTATTTACAATAGCCAAAATATGGAACAGCTTAAATGTCTGAAGAATGGATAAAGATGTGAGATATATATATATATTATTCAGCCATAAAAAAATATAGAAGTCTTGCCATTTGCAAAGATATGGATGGAGCTGAAGAGTATAATGCTAAGTGAAACAGGTCAGAGAAAGACAAACACCATGTAATTTCATTCATATATGAAATTCAAGAAAGAAAAAGGAGCAAATGGAAAAAAAAAAAAGAGAGACAAACCAAGAAACAGATTCCTTAACTATAGAGAACTGACGGTCACCAGAGGGGTAGGTGGGGGGACGGATGGGGGCAATAGGTCATGGGGATCAAGGACTGTGCTTGTCATGATAAGCATTGGTGATTAAAATTTTTTTTTTTTATATTTTTATTTATTTCTAGGAGAGAGAGAGAGAGACAGCGTGAGCAGGGGAGGGTCAGAGAGAGAGGGAGTCA